ATACACACACACATACCAAATTTGCTGCACATCTGCTCCAATATAAGTTCCTGTATGTTTCACATGATATAATCCTAAAATTCACTTCCATAGGACATTAGTGGATGCTTTCTAAATTGGCATTTTTAAAACATCTGTGTCTTTCCTTATACTTCCAATGCTATAACATTTGTCCCAGAGAGCAAAGGGAGACTTGTCTTCTCTTGACTAGACACCACTTCCCAAAGGAGGACCACCCAGCCTGATCTTACTGATATCATCAGTAAACTGGGATTGCAGCCTGGCCCACAGCTGGAATTGTTTCCTGAGTTGGAGAATTTATTTCACTCAGGGTAAAAGTCACAGGATTTTCTTGTTGTGATCCAACTTGTGAGCCAATTACTAGGATAAAGTTACCATACTACTTACCTCATTTGTCGTAAACAGCTCACAGCATATTCTCTTACATATTGATCGGGGTAATTGAAATCTAGTAACTCTAATGCTTCTCTAGGAGGCAGTTTTGACCATATCTGAAGAAGAGCCTGAAGCTGTTCAGAAAATAAACATAGTACACACAGAATTCAATAACTAAAATATTTATGAACAGAATTTATTCATGAACAGAGTTGGACTATTGGACCCAGGTTCCTGCATCTTACCCATGGAACTCACTGAATGCCTTTGAGCTGAGAGAGAAAAATTGGCTCAATCTACCTCACAGGGTTTCTTTTGGGGGATAAAATGAAGGGAAATCCCATAAAAGCTGCCTTGAATTCTTGGAGGAGAGGCAGAATATATATCTAAAAAACAAGCAAGTGAATAAATAATGCCCCCCTCCCCCCACACAAATGGAAACATGCTCAACAGAGATTTAATACACAGTATGGTGGGAGCCACCAGTTAAGACCCCATCCTCGTGCCTGCAATATAATTCAAACTAAGGGGGAGGAGGAAGGTGGTACAAACTGTACTGTGACTCTTTAATATTTCAATTTCCAGCCAGTTGGTGAAAATGTCAATATTTTCATTTATTTCTTTTCCTTTTAATGATGTAAAGGAAGAGATTTGAAGGCTCTTCATTATTCCTCTACCTGTGGCAGAATAAAGACCCACCAGAGGATAGAAAAATCAGGGAGATATGAGGAGTAAAATACTATATGAGAAATAGTCAAAGGGGTGGGAGTTGTTCACGCAAATCGAATCAAATGAGATATTAGAGAAGACATTCAGGATACTTAAGAGTAATCTAAAAAAGAGGTGACAATTAGATTTGTCTGACTTCCTTGATCTCTGGACACAATTTAGCTCAGCTCTGTTTAATTGCAGATTCTAGAAACAGTGGCAAATGCTACTTGGCAATTAATTTAGCAAGGGACTAGCTATTTTTGTATAAGAAGTAGTCCTGTTATCTCCTCTATCTTATTTAGTTCCCCACCTTTCTATTCAACTGAATACTAAGGCAGCTGATAACAAAAATATGAACTATGAATACAATTCAAAAACATAGATTAAAAGCTAATCTTAAAATTAGCTGCCCCACCTTAAAAGCTCAAATGACACTACTCTTTCAGCAATGATGTAGCTCTGTGATACTATACACACTAACTATTCTACATGCTGAGCACTGAAGAGACCTAACTTCAACACTTCCTTGCAGGAAACATAGAATTTATATTGTGTATATATGGCTTCATCTCTACAATATCAGATAACAGAATAAAACTTCTATCCAAGTATTCAAAAATGTGTGCAACATATGGAATATTATTCTGTTGCCACTAGAATTATGCCCACTTAGAAAAATTTAAAATTACAGGCAGAAGTTATTGAACTAGAAAATGTTAAGTGATATGACCCTTAGAGGAAACAAGAGCTCAATGACCTGAGAAGGAGCCAAAAAGATTCCAAAAATATAGCCAATTCTTGTTTACATTCTTTCTCTGAGCCTGAATAAGGAGGGAAATGCTGACCAGCTAGATCAACATCCCAGGTGGGTACTAGCTGATCTAAGAGTGTTGGTCAGAGGCCAACAAGGGGACTTATCACATCTGGGCTCAAAGCTTTCCTTTCTTAAACCAAAACCCAAAACAACAATACTTCTACAGAACAATCAGAGCAAAACTCCACAAAAACTGTAACATTCCGTATAAATGGGAAAATTATTACAGCATCTAAGAACCTTTTTCCCTTATTTCATAAATTAATGAACTATGCCACTTTTTTCCAGCTAGCTTCTTTTACCATCTTCTAGCTACAACACTTTAACAAATTTAAAACATTTTCTTGCACATAATAAAGTTGATACCATATATGATTTTGCTCATATAAAGTGTTAACAGACAATTAGTACTCTTTATGGTGTTATCTTAGACAACTAAATAACATAAGGAACATTGTGCCACTATATCATAATATCCAGATTTGACTACTGCTTCTACAGTGTATTTTGTTGTACGTAATGAAGTGTAAATGAACTACGTTTAGGAATTGCTTTAACATACCTACACTTTATTCTGCTACAATTTGTCAGGACTGGATTTGGAAAAGGAAACATTATCCATGTTTGTATATCAACAATGATGTACCCTTCCCTAACCCTACCCCCCAAATACCTGGTTTTAAAGGAATGAAAAAACTGGAATAGAGAAAATGGGCAGAGTTTACAAATGAAAAATTCTGATAAAATAGCTTACATCCAATAACAGTTTCTTTCGTGAATGAAACTGATGAAAACTACATTAGAACTTTTTCTCTGTAAAGCCAAGATTATAAGAGACCTCCCTGTATCAGTCAAAGTATAAATGTATTAAGTATAAATGCATTATTTAGTGATAATTTATAGAAAGTAATTGAGATTGCTTATTTGTCATCTCGTTTCTGTTGAAAAGATGCTGATCCTATTGGAATTCAGAAGTAGGGCTAATGATTTGTGCATACTGCTGTGCTTTCTTGCAGTGACACACTTCTATAAGAATGCCTGATAGGTGCTGCTGCTCGTAAAATATATTCTTGCCTGAAAACAGAGGTACGAGTGATCCTTTCAGAAAGAGCTAGCAAGCCTACCCAAACAAAATATAGATGTAATAGTTAGAGGTTATCTCAAACAGTAGACGCATGTAGAAAAATCAACAAGAAAAATACAGAATCAAGATGGCAAACTTAGTGCAGGGATAGACAACCATGTTGTTTTGAATTCTGAGAGCATACAAGTGGACTCATGCACAAAATGGCAGTTATGGAAGATTTGCCTATTCACTGACTGGGTGTCATAGTAGCCACAGCAAGTCACAAAACCCCAACTACCAGAAGGTGAACAAGCTCCCCATGATACCCTCTACCTCACCAGAGGGCCTTTGTGGGGCTCAAGGCCTTGCTGCAAATAAATATGATGCTAGAATTAGGTGTTTGCTTTGTAGCATGTCAGTGCTCTAAAAAATAACGAGTATCTACATTTTTGCAGTTAACAGTATGTCATTTAAATCACAGCCTCCCATATTCCTACACAAAATTGCTCTCACTTGGTCCCTGGTATGGCTATTGCTCTACATATTTTACTATATGTCTTACTTGAGCAACATCTTCAAGCTTGTTCCATTTCACAGACAGCAACAGTTTTGGCAGGGATTGTGGAAAATTTTCACGACAGTCAAATCGTAATGTCCAGATGAGATCCATTTCATTTTCACACAGCTGAGATAAAGGGTCCCTTTCCATGATCTCCTTTAGCTCAATGTAGAACTTTTTGCCACCACGACCCTAGAAGGTGCATGTTGATAAATGGTCAAGCATACAATCTGCAAATTTTAAATATGTGTCAAAACAAATATTTCTGTTTCTGTACTGCCCCAAATGCCATGAGGCCAGAACAGATACATTCCTTGTTATTAGTCTAAGATTAACAAATCATACACACTCTACTAGTTTTATATATATTACAAATGTTAATATTGTACTTTATGAAATATACACTTCCCAAGGAAGACCACTAAGGGGCAGTATTGTTATTTTATTATTCCATTTGGGTAATATTTCTACTGAAAGGGATTTGAATTTCAAATTCATAGATAAAAGCTAAACTTTGTATAATTTAAAGATAAATGTACAGATTAAAGGACAGTGAAGAATATCAGCTGAAGTCATAACCCAGCAGAATTTTGATAATTTACATTTGAGTACCGTTTTAAAGTTGGCAAAATTTTAGAGATGATTTTTTTTCATTTCCATACTATAAAATCCAAACATACAATATAAACTAAAACAACAAACTTATTCCTAGTTGCAGTAAAATAACACAGAAAGACATACGAAAACCTGTTGCTCTCTAACTTTTTAGACTACAGCTCCCATACTCCTGTACTATTGACGAAAATGACAGATGATGGGAGACGCATTTGTACTGAATTATGCTTTCAGAAGACATGAATTAGTCTAGCCTTTTCTTTTTTAAAATTTATTCATTGGTTTTAAAAGAAAAACAAAGAGCAAACAAGCAAGCAAAAAGAAAAAAAATAATTGGTACAGATATATATATAAACGGAAAAAGGAATTACTAAGATTATACAGTTAGTGCTCAGTGCATCTTTGATTAGAAATTAACCATGGAAAAAATTAAATTACATTTAAGTACTTTAAACTGTTTTAACAATGTAAGTAATTTAAATCTCTGAACTAAGTACTTAAATCTCTACTATTTGTTTAAAAATACAAAAAAAAAAAAAAAACAGAAAAGAGGAAAAAAAACCTACTAAAAACTTATTAATTTCTAACTCCCCTTTTATTGTACTCCGACTAATGTACAATATTTATAGACTTATGAATTTTTTGTGTCTCTGATTTCAGCTCTTTAGTCAGCCCTTTTTCCCTTTAAAAACCATACTCTAGATACTTATATTTACCTTCCTGCATTTTGCCATTACTGCATATTCTCCAGGTTTAAGCTCCTAATCTGATATAATGCATGCCCTTTCAAATGTTGTGCTAAATTTATTCTTGCTGCCATAAACACGTATCTTAGTAAATTGTGATATTTTTTGTTAATATGCTTTGGAATTATGCCTAGTAAACTCAAGGCTTCTCTTGAGCTGGTATGTCTTATTCAATGTGGTAAAAAGGAATGTAGAAGCATTCACTTAGGCTTTTATTTAACCACTGTTTGCTATGTTGTCTTGTATTCAAACTATGTTTATTCAAATAAGCCAACTTCAAAACATGATATCCAAACCTCAGCTAACAAAACTCCAATTCCTGGCTCAAATGACTTGGAAAGCTGTGGGTAATAAAAAGGCTAAATAAAAATTTAAGGGTAATGAAAATAAGAGGGGAACAAAAGAGCAAGGAATGTACATGTGCCTGCAAGGACATCAACTCATTCATATAGCACTAAATTATAGTGTAGCACTATGTTCAAATTTGGCACTGTCTAGCATGTATTTAATTTAATTTAAACCCATTTCTTTTCTGACTATTCCATATAAAAACACATACAGAATATTGATAAAGATAAAAGGAAGCTTTATATATATCATGAATGGCAATAGTCTACTAATAAATTTTATTAATCCAAAAGGCTGTAACAATAAATTAAAACATACTGCTTCCAGAACAGTAACTATAGAACAATAAATATTTAAGTCAAAACAGTCTACTGAGATAATAAACTTTGGTAATCTTGCACTAATAAAAGCTTTAACTTTAAGATAATAATTCTAAACATTAAATGTACAGACCATTACAATAAAACTTCACAATTACAGTCAGGACCAGAAATATTGGAACAAGGATAACTGTTTTGGCATTTGGTCTCTGTACACCACCACACTGATGCTGAAAGGAAACACACCCAGATGGGAGCAAAGTCAGGACTTTCAGTTGTAATTCAAGGGGTTTGGCAAAAGTGGGGCACTAACCATTCAGGAAATACAGCCAGTGGCATACACACCCCTCCATCGTTGGTGGCTCATAAGTAATGGAACAAACCAACATCATGACAAACAAAAGGATCGCCTTTAATACCTGGATGAAAATCCTTTGCAGTCAATGACTGCCTGAAGTCTGGAACTCATGGACATGACCAAATGCTGAGTTTTCCCCCTTGAGATGCTTTGCCAGGCCTTCATTCCAGCTGCCTTCAGCTGCTGCTTGTTTGTGGGTCCTTCTGCCTTCAGTCTTGTCTTCAGTAAGCGAAAAGCATGCTCTATTGGGTTGAGGT